GTAGTAGTAGTGGTAGTTAGTAGTAGTAGTAGTAGTAGTAGTAGTAGTAGTAGTAGTAGTAGTAGTAGTAGTAGTAGTAGTAGTAGTAGTAGTAGTAGTAGTAGTAGTAGTAGTAGTAGTAGCAGTAGTAGTAGTAGTAGTAGTAGTAGTAGTAGTAGTAGTAGTAGTAGTAGTAGTAGTAGTAGTAGTAGTAGTAGTAGTAGTAGTAGTAGTAGTAGTAGTAGTAGTAGTAGTAGTAGTAGTAGTAGTAGTAGTAGTAGTAGTAGTAGTAGTAGTAGTAGTAGTAGTAGTAGTAGTAGTAGTAGTAGTAGTAGTAGTAGTATTGTATACGTGTGGAAAGGGGAGGAGGAACAGGAGGAAGAGGGGCAGGATGAGGAGGTCCAGAGCAGTATGTTGTCGTAGAGGCTTCGTATCCAGTTGTGTACTTCCCCACAGTGCTTTCCTGGATTTCTGGGGGCAGCCAGATTTATCGGCGGCGTGGTGCGATCAACTGGCCCCGTGTGCCCCGGTTCCGATTCGGGAGGGTTCCAGAGAAGGAGGAGCGGGAGGAGGAGGAACGGGAGGAAGAGGAGGGAGGAACGAGTAGAGGGGTCAGGTGGCAGGATGGGGGAGGGGGCATGGAGGGAGGGGAACGAGGACGAGGCCGTGTGCCCAGGTGATCCCGTGGCAGGCTAGCAGGCTACCCAGGGGTCTCCGGCGTTGAGCCGGGAGGGGTGCGGAGTGGGAAAGGGCGCCGCCGCCGTCGCTACCGTCGCCGCGGCCGGTCGGTCGCCTCGGCCGCCGCGGCCACCGTGGCCGTCGCCGCTGTCACCGACGGACAGACGCCACCGCCGCCGCCGCCGCGGCCGCCGCCGCCGCCGCCGCCGCCGCCGCCGTCGTCGTCGCCGTCGTCGTCGTCGTCGTCGTCGTCGTCGCCGTCGTTGCCGCCGCCGCCGCCGCCGCCGCTCGGCCGCCGCGGTCGGCCTGGGCCGGCGCCCGCTGGCGGCCAGCCGCCGGCCCGCACGGCCCGCCGCCCGCCGGGTCGGCCGCGAGGAGCCCGAGGTGGACCCGCGCAGGCAGGACCCGCCGCCCCGGGCGCCGCCGGTGCAGATGCCGGCGACCCGCCGCGCGCCGCCCGCTGGCTTGTGCATCTTGGCGCAGCCGATCCGTCAGAGGAGGAGAAGGTACCCATGCCTCTACCCTTCGCCCTTTGCCCCTTGTCGGGCCTCCTGGGAAGCAATCGTCGCCACCGCTGGATCCGCTTCGAAATTCTAGTGAGAACGCACCCCGGGAGAGGTCCAGGGGGTAGCGGTATCAGTACCTTTAGGTTTCCCCAATCCGATCGGATTTCGATTCTTTGTTCGTGCGGCCCCATCCGACGCACATGCCGATGCGATCCGTTTTCCCGATCCGATGCTGACTCGTGCTGCGCCCAGCAGCCTCCTCTCCTCCGCCCAGCGCCCTGGCCTTGCCGGAGGGCGCCGATCTCTCCAGGCAGTCCAGGCTCGGTGGCTCAGAGATGTGGTCCTGATGTGATAGGATTCTAAAATTGGGGTGCTTCAAAGAGCTTGGATCCACCCTTGGGCCCCTTCCTACCCTTTGGTCACCGAGCGCGTTCCACTATTCGCAAAGTGCCTACTCGCAAACGTCTGAAGACACACATATCTTCCTCGACGTACTGGATCGTGCATCCTCCGCGGCGGATCCAGGACGTTTGCAAGCATTTCGCGAGTAGTCGAACGCGCTTGTTTGCTCAGGACCCCATCCCTTAGGACCCCATCTGTAAACCACCGATGGGCCTCCCAGGTGGGGTCGGAGTGGATGGGGTCGGGGGACCGCGCCGCACCGGCGGTGTATCGGCGATGCGGCTCGATGTGGAGCCCGATGTTTTCCACGCCGACGTCGCCGATGCATCGGCGATGCATCGCCAGTGCATCGCCGATGCGTCGGCGATGCGGTGTGCAATCCTCAGACCCCATCTACTCGGAGTTCATCTGAGAGGCCTCCAGACATCCGATGCCTTGGAAACTCAGGGCGCAAGGAGTCTTCAGTTCCGCCGTTTTCTGGCCTCCGGGGGCCGTCTGCGAGCTCCAGGGCCGCCGACAAATTGACTCGAGGTGAAGTGCCCGCCCCGGGGAAAGGGCTGGGACTTCTGGGACCCCCGCGTTTCGGGAGCCTTGAGACGGGGGTCAATTCAAACGGGGGTCATCCAAAGCGCCGGATCTTGCAGCTTCCTGCAGAGGTAGGGGTGCATTGACTCAGGTTAGCGCGCGGGATCCTGCAGGATCTTGCATGATCCTGAAAAGCCCCACTGACCCGGATCTGGATTGACCCGGGTCAGCATATCCCTGAGTATTGAAAACGTCAAGGCGTCGGATTTGTTTGGGGGCACCGAGGCTCGCCATGAGGAGGGCAAGTTTGCCTCATGGCTTATGATGTTCCAACCTACTTGAGCCTTGATCACCCAAATAATGTTGAGCACCGAGAAAGTACCGACACTGGAGGGTTTCCACGTGTCGGGCCCCGGGAGGCGATACTCGGTCGTGCTCGAATTTGTTTCCAGGATGTGGTCCTCAAGTGCGATGGGAGCAAACATAACTCGTGGCGCGATCTTGGTCGGCGCCGCCAGGGAGGTAGCAGTTGGCCACCTCCAGCCGTTCCCAGGCGGCGCAGGCGCAGAGCGTGACCCAGGAGGGAAGAAAACACAGACGCAATTCATCGCCGACTCCCAGGAAGATGTAGGATAATATGGGAAGGGGGGGAAGACATAAACGTAGAAAATAGAGAAAGTATGGTGAATTCTGGGATTTGTGCGTATTGATTTGTGTGTCCCTGGGCCCCTTCAGTGACGTCACAGGGGAAGGGGGGGGGGCCTGGCAACGGGCGCTGCTCGGAGGAGAGCCAGTTGAGACACTGGTGCCTCTGCCGCCGCGGGCCTGTCCACCCCCCCTCCCCCGCCCCCCTGTGGGAGTAGATCTTGGCTGTCTTTGGCGTGTGTCTCAAGCAGTCGCACTGGACGCACTGCTCTTTGGCAGTTTGGCGCACTGGACTCAAGCGTGCACTGGACGCATTGGCTGTTTTTGGCGCGCTGGAGGCTCCCCCACAGGACGCACTGCTGCAACACAGTCGCACTAAGCAGAGGTCCGCAGCCAGACCCACCCCCTGTCCCCTACCTTCAGCCCAAAGTCGAAACGCCGAACACGACAACGTTCCCCATAATCATTCTCCGGACCCCTTGTAGGGTCCATCCTGACTTGAGTCTCGACGGAGATCCGACGTCACGACCAAGATGCAGCGTCGTGAAAGATCACAGCCGGAGCCCTCGAGCCCATGTTTGCGCGGCACTTCTCCAGCAGGATCGATCCGTGAGGGTCCGGTGGCCTCACACCAGGCGAAAGCGCCCAGAGTGAAACACTGCAACGCCAGGGTCTCAGGGGAGGGGTGTCCTGAGGCAAGTTGGCCCTGCTGTTTTTTGTTGTCGTCTGGCCACGTGGCCACCCGCCAAAAAACGAATCAGGGCAAACACTTGGTCCCAGGGGAACGCCCCTGGGTCCAGGGCCCGTTTTCATCAAGACCATATTCCTTCATGCCAATTGTAATGGCCTCCGGCCAGTGCCGCCGATCCAGGGGGCTCTGGATTCGGTGATCCTCGCGGCTCTGTGGCCTCCTCCCCCCTCGATTCTTCCGGTCCTCTTTCTTCTCTTCTGGGGGGTTGCCTGGAGCGGTCCTGGGGGGGCGTCTGGGGAGGGTTCCGAGGGGAAGGTCCTGGGGGCGGTAGCGGCTAGATCTGTGGGGGGTCCCTGGGACCCCCCGAAACATCTTGGGGATGCGCAAAGCATTAAAAAAACGCCAGAGGGGGGACTGCCCCCCCTCCTCCCCCTCTTCCCCGGGGGGGACAGGATGCGCAAATCATGAAGAAAGCGCTCGATGGAGGACCGCTCCCCCCCCCCCCCTCCCCCCCTTCCCCGGCAAAGCCACCCCGGCGCCCCCCCCAAGCGGAGCTGGAGCTCTTGCTGAGGCTCAGAGCTGAAGCTCTTGCCGAGGCTCCTTGTACTTCACACGCCAGATCGGCGGACATGTGGGGCCAGCGATATTTAGGTGCTTTCAATGCGGGGCCCCCGGAAGACCCGACCCTCTCCCCAGCGCAGGCTTCTCATGCTGAGTCGGCTCTTGACAGCCGCGGAGCCCAGCGAGGGCCCCTCGAGGCCGAGAGCGAACACGACGGAGCAGTCTTGACCTTTGTTCAAGACGTCGGGAGGTCTCGGCTTCCCACCCCTCGGCGGAGAGCGAAGGGGGGAGAGTGAGACGGGGCGGGCCTTCTCAGAAGGCTCGGGAATCCGCCGGCCTTCTGGGCAGTTTTCTGAGCCTTCCCCGAAGACCAAAACGATTTCTCAGAAGGCCCGAGGGCTTCTGAGAAGTCCCGCCGCCTTCGAGCGTGCTGTTTCTTTCTTGCTTGGGGCATAACGGGCATTATAGCCCCCTCCCCCCTTTATAACGTAACGCCCCTCCCCCCCTCCCCAGTGCGCTCCGGGCACTGCCGCCGTGCGCACTGTGGGGGGGGAGCGTTGCATCATACCCCCCCGTGGCCCCTCCCCCCTCATTGTAGTGCCCAGTATCGCCGAAAATAAAGATCGCTCGCCGCCGCCTTGGCCTGGGTCCAGGAGCCGCCTCGTGGCCGGCTCGGGCTCGGGACAGGGGCCCTGGCCGGCCCTCGGTTGACGGACCGCTGCGGCCGCCGCTCCTGGGTGCCGCCCGGGGGGGGGCGCTGCCACGCACGATCGAGGTGCGAGGGGAGGAGGAGGAGGAGGAGGAGGAGGAGGAGGAGGAGGAGGAGGAGGAGGAGGAGGAGGAGGAGGAGGAGGAGGAGGAAGGAGGGGAGGAGGAGGAGGAGGACCAGTGTAAGCCCCAGACGCATCAACGATGTTGCAGTGATCCCTCCCTGCAAGTTCCCTCCTAATGGGCCCCTACATTTTTTTTGCACTGCTGGAAGTGCCCGGTTGAGAGGCAACAGTTGGGGAGTGCCCAATCGTGCCAAAACACAATTTCTTGGACTTGAGCGCCGCGAAGAAACTTCATTGTTGCGTCCTGACGATCCTACATCGCGCCAAAGCACCATTCTGGGGACTTAACAAAGCCGCGAATCAACGTGACGGCTGCGCCCTGATAGCCCTTCATCGCACCGGATTATCATTTTTGGGACGCCAGCCTCAAGAATCCGTTAAACATTTGTCAACTTTGAAAACGAATTTGCGCAGTGCTAAGGCGAGAGCCACGTATTGAAAAAACATCGCGCTCAATCGGGAAGCTCTTGTAAACTTAAGACAATGTGCGCGGCACCAGGGCGAGAGCCACATCTCGTAAACAACCGCCCTCCATCCGTTAAGCACGTGCAAAGTTTTGAGTGAGAGCGGCGCTGTGGCGAGAGCCACATTTTGCGAATGAGCCGCCCTAAACCTGTGAACATTGAACATTCTGAATACTTTGGACGAATGTGCGCGGCGCAAAGGCGACAGCCGCATTTTGAAAACGGCCCGCTCTCCATCCGGGAAGCTGTGGCAAACTTTTAAGACGACTGTGTGCGGCGCTGCGGCGAGAGCTATCTTTTGAAACGAATCGCCCTACATCCGTGAAGCTCTTGCTACAGTTTAGGCGAACTGTGCGCGGCGTAAGGCGAGATCCACATTTTGACAAGGAACCGCTCTCCATCCGTGAAGCTCTTGCGAACTTGTGTGTCGGATGTGCGTGGCGCTGAGGCGATCGCCACATTCTGAGAACGGCCCGCTTTTCGTCCGTGAAGCTGTTGAACGCTTTTTCAAGACGACGGTGCGGCGCTAAGGCGATAGCCACATTTTGAAAGGAGCTGTCCATCCGTGAAGCTGATGTGCGCGGCGCCAAGGCGAGTGCCACATTTTGAAAATGGCCCGCTCTCAATCCGTGAGACTCTTGCATCTTTCAAGCCTCGTGATCATACATGGTGATGAAGTCTCAGGCGAAGCTTCCAGCCCGCCTTACCGAGACATCTCGTGGTGCGACAGGGAGGGTTATCTAATCAGGGAAAGCGACGGGGCAGGATCGAGGATCGAGGTTCGAGGGGAGGATGAGGGGGAGGAGGAGGAGGAGGAGGAGGAGGAGAAGGAGGAGGAGGAGGAGGAGGAGGAGGAGCAGGGAGGAGGAGCAGGAGGAGGAGGAGGAGGAGGAGGAGGAGCAGGAGGGGGAGGAGAGGAGGAGGAGAGGAGGAGGAGGAGACGAGGAGGAGAAGTAGGAGGATGAGGAGGATGAGAAGGGGGGATGAGGAGGAGGAGGAGGCGGAGGAGGAGGAGGAGGAGGAGGAGGAGGAGGAGAGTCGGGGACAGAGCGGAGAGTCGGAGAGGAGGAGGAGGAGGAGGAGGAGGAGGAGGAGGAGCAGGAGGAGGAGGAGGACGAGGAGGAGGTCCTGTGAGGTTGGCCAAGCTCGCATGGCAGCATGACGGCTTCAGCGGGCTCTGCGTCGTCATCCTTCCTCGGCGCTCGTTTCCTTCCGTCTGCCCTCTCGCACTCACCCTCGGGCTGGCGGAGGGCAGGCGGAGGTCGGCGGAAGCAAACGTTAGGCCCCGAAGAGATGCAAACTTTTAGGGGGTGTAGGTTTTCCGGAGCGGGCCACATGTCGCTCGTGGGCGGGCGGCCCAGAGGAGGGTGACGACTACGGACACCCCCCTTTTGGGTGCCCCCGACTCCCGTCCACCCCGGACCGTCCTGGCGTCAGCCCAGAGGTGATCGACACGGGCGATGGAGGTAAGCTGGACGTGATGTCGAAGCTGCTCGAGGACCGCGGCGGCGGCGGCGGCGGCGGCGGCGGCGGCGGCGGCGGCGTCGTCGTCGTCGTCGTCGTCGTCGTCGTCGTCGTCGTCGTCGTCGTCGTCGTCGTCGTCGTCAGCGTCGTCGTCGTTTCGCTCTTCCTCCTGCTCCTCCTCCTCCTCCTCCTCCTCCTCCCTCTCGCTCTCCCCCACCTCCTGCTCCTCCCTGATTCTCCCCCGACCCCCTCCTCGTCCTCCGCCTCCTCCCCTCACCCCCTCCCCAGGCTCCGGCTCCTCGAGCCGCAGGCACTTGCCACCTGGAGGTCCCCGTGACACCCCAGGAAGCTCAGCCCCAAGGGCCCTCCGCCCTCCCGCCTCCCCTCGTCCGCCTCCTGCTGGAGGACCGCGTCATCATCCTCGGGGGGGAGGTGAAGGACGAGATGGCCCAGGCCAGCCCGGGCCAGCCCGGGGGGCAGCCCTGGGGGGCCTCTGTCGGGGCCTGCTCCAGTACACGATAGGGGGAGAGGGAGGAGCAGGAGGAAGAACACGGGAGAGAGAGAGAGAGAGTGGACAGAAAACATCATGACGCAACTGAGGAGAGAGGTGGATGGGAAAGAGGAGAAGGGAGATCGAGAGAGAGAAAGAGAGAGAGAGAGGCAGCGAACGAGAGACAGAGAGAGAGAGAGAGAGAAAGAGAGATAGACCGAGAGAGAAAGGGGAGGGACTGAGAGAGAAAGGGGGCCAGGCTGAGGGAGAGAGGGGATTTGGCTGGGGGAAGGGGGAGGGATACAATGTGTGTACATGTATGTATGGATGTAAGTGTGTGTGTGTGTGAGAGCAGGTATGTATGCATGTACGTATGTATGCATGTATGAATGCATGCATGTACGTTTGTATGCAGGGAAGTATATATATATGTATATGTGCGTGTATCTTATGCCAGCATGTGTTTGTATGTCTGTGTGTATGTATGCATGCACTTATGTATGTATGTATGCACGCATGCATGTGTTTATGCATGTAATGTATGAACTAGATGTATGCGTGCCTTCACGTATGCATGACAGTGTATATGCTTATGTGTTAGCATATGTATATGTACATGTGCATACAACTGTATGAAAGTATATGTATAGGTATTTGCAGGTGTATATTTTTTGTAGATGTATGGGAACTTGCAACCGTTTCTGCATATGTATATGTATATGGTTTCGTGTATGTGTACATTCCAGGCATATGTATATACTTACATGTATATTTATCGTTATACGTGCGTATATGCATACACATGCCTATGTATATGTAAGCGTATATGTATATATAGGTATATGTGTATGACTACGTGTATGTATGTACGTTTGCATGCATTCATACATGTGTGCACGCACAGATAAATGTATATGTATGCGTGCATACATTTGTTTCCGTTTAGGTTTACGTTCATGTGTCCCTATGCGTCTATATACATACATGTAGATGTCTACGATTGTGTATGCGTATATGTTTTGGTTTGTGTATGTTCAACGGTATAAATATATGCAGATGCGTATACGTATGCTTATGTATTTGTGTATCTAGACATGTCTTTGTTTTATGTATACACATATACATGTGCATATGCATGTGTATACGTATTGGCATATGTACATGTGCATGCATGCATACATCTATACATGCACATATATACATAAATTCAAGTATGCAAGCCTTTATATACACATTTATTCATTCATCCATCCATCCATCCATCACTATATGCATACATACACATGCATACACACATACATACATACACACATGTGTATATATGTATATTTATATGTATATGTATATGTATATGTATATGTATACGTATACGTACAGGTATAGGTATATGCATATGTATATGTATATGTATATGTATATGTATATGTATATGTATATGTATGTGTATGTGTATATGTATATATATATATATGTACATGTATATGTATATGTATAGGTATGTGTAAATGTATCTGTAACTGTAAATGTATATGTATATGTATATGTATAGGTATATGTAGATGTATATCTATGTGTGTGTGTGTGTATATGTCTATGTATATGTCTATGTATATGTATATGTATCTGTATATGTCGGAGTATGCCTCGGTCGGGCCCGAAACCAGATGGGTGGATGGGGGTTCCAGGGGCCCGCTCGGAACGCCCCTCGTCGCCTCGTGATTGCACGGCGAACCCATCAATGGGTATGACAGTCTACCAGGCTGGGTCCAGCACAACCTGAGACCACCAACAATTCTCACTGAACGGCCTCGAAAGGCTTCCAGGCCAGCTTTCAGTGGGCGGTGGAGGCCCCAGACGAGGACCCCGAGACGCAAAAATCATTGATTTTATAATGTTTTTTATTATTTCCGGTGCCCTCTCTTTGTCGACATCCTCGCACTCCGCGACGGCCCATGAAGCCTCCGACACCGCCTCAGGACGCGCCCAGCGGCTCCCAGGAAGGCCCCATGACGGCCAAGCAGGCTCCATGACGGCCCCAAGGGCGCCTCAGACGGCCCACGAGGCCCTCGAGACGGCCCCAAGATGGCCTCCCGAGGGGGGTCGAGAAGCAAAATTTGGAACCTGTCGCCTCAGGGAGCTCCCCGGAGGCCTCCAACAGGCACCAGGACGGCCCCGGGCAGGCTCCAGAGGGCGTCCGGGGCCCCAGCCGAGTGCCCCGAGAGACAAGAATCATTGCTTTCGCTCGGGTTTTTCCATGTTTTCGGTGCCACCTCGTTCTCCCCATCCGGACACTCCACGACGGCCCACAAGGCCTCTGACACCCCCTCCGGACGGGCTCAAAGGACCCCCAGAAGACCCGAAGGCCCTGGAACAGCCTAGCCGGGTCCCATGACGCTCCCTGGGGCGCGCAAGACGGCCCACGAGGCTCTCAAGACGGCTCCGAAATGACCTCCCGAGGGACGACATGGATAGAAATGTTGACTTCTCCGCCTCGTGAAGCCTCCCTGAGGCTTCCAGACGGCGCCAGGACCGCCTGGGGCAGGCTCCGGCGGCCACCCGAGGCCCCGGACAGGTGCGGCGAGAGGCGAACATCGTGGATTTTGCTACGGCTTTCCACTGCTGTTCCTCCATTGTTTGAGCTTCCAATATGCTCCACGATGGCCCCGGAGGCCTCCCGCACCGCCTCAGGATGGGCCCAGGAGGGCCCCGGGACGGCCCAGCACAACTCTTTGGCGGCCGCCCGGGACAGTCTCGGAGGCCCC